AGAAGAATGGTCAGCAGAAAGACGTGTCAGGCTGCGCCTAGTCTGCGCTGGATGTTGACTCCACTCTGACCCACGGATCTTCACTTTCTAGGTACTTCAGGGCTTCTTTCTGCCACCAAGTCCCAAGCTAAAAGCCAGTCTCCTGCAAACGTACACACTATTGATTTAACACTTATTAGTAAATGTATGTGGATAGTGACTAACAGGGTAGTGGATTTTCATGTCTTTTTTTCCTTACATATTGAGAATGTCTTTTTCTATCTAATTTAAATATGAAATTTCAAACAATAAAATGTAGCTTTTTTTTTTCCTTGCCTTTTCATAGATCAAACTTAGGAATAAACACAGAGAGTCAGGAGTAGTTTAGCAACATTTCTTTTCTTAACAGATGCCAGTGTTGGATTTTGCTTAGCGAATGGCATCTTTGATGGTTTAGTTTAAAAACAGCATTGTATTTGATCACTGAAGATACTATACTTCAGATATATTTAAGCTACAATGCAGAGAAACGCAAAAATTAGTACAGGTATGTGTTGCACACCCATGTGAAAGAAAATTTTGTCAGCCTAGGCTTCTGGTCTTGTATTATTTTTTCAGTTAGTCTCCTGTGTCTTCCTCGTCAGCTACCACATGAGTTATGAAGCCACTCTGCAGTAGCTGCATTGTCACCTATTTAAAATTAACCATGGTTTAAGTTTTAAGATGCTAAGTTTGTGCTTACAAGTTTTGATGATCCTCTATGCCACGCTTGAATGGGAATTCATCACTATTTGAGACATTTCTTTACTGCTTTTAGAAGATAGTTAACTCTTTTCATTCATCAGTTGGGTTGTTTTTTTAATCTGGGAAGAAATTTTTAAAAGTCAAATGACCAACCACACTGTGTGCTTTAATCAGGAAGTTCTTTTTTTTTCAGTCACACCATTGACTTTTCTCCAAAGTGCTACCCAAGGGTTACATTAGGATCATGGCTTTTTTGGGAAAGTCACTGTTTTTAAAAGGTGAGGAGGGTGGTGGTGGTGGTATTTTTGTTGTTGTTTTTGTTGTTGTTGTTATTACTACTGCTCCTACTACTATTGAGATTCACTTACGTTGTGTGGCCTTCAACCGTTGTCTGACAGACGAGAAGATACTACTTATCTGGCTTCAGAGGACTGATCCAAGTTTTGACTAATATAAATGTGCAATGGCAGCCAGCAGAAAATTGATCTTGGTATAGTTTTATCCCCCATTGGTCCATTCTGCTGATCTGCTCCATTGCCATTTCACCTTTGCTCTCTCCTTGTATCAGCTAGAGTTATTCCTGGGATGATGGTGGTAGAAGCAGTGGTTAGCAGAAGCCGTAAGGCATTCAGATCCTCTCAGGACATGTAGTTTCCCCCCCCCACACACACACATTTTCAAGTTTTCTTCTTCTCACCAGGTGATACAGGCCCACTCAAGAGTCCTGTTCAACCTGTTATCCAGTCTTGGTTTTGTTTATTATGGTGATAGGTAAGATTTTAGACACGTACTGCCAAGTTCTGTTTCTTAATTTGCTCTGTAATGGATGAGGCTGCAGAAAGCTCAGTTGGTGTTCTATAAGTCAATGTCTTGATCTTCTTACAATGCCAGTCATGTGATTTTAAGAGCCAAAAAATACATAAAAATAATCACATCTAGGTTTGACTCAGTGCTGGAACAGTGATACTTTAAAACCCCACTCCCCACCAGGAACAATGCTGTAATGATTGCAGCTTTGCTTAGCTAACCCTAGTAATCCATTATGCCAATTTTTTTCCTGTTTCTCTGATAGTAAATAATGTTGCTTGTTTTCTTCCCAATTATTTTAGTTTGAGGAGAAGTATCTGAACAAATCTCCAGTGACGTGCTTGTAAATGGTGTTCTATCATTATTAAGCAGTTTTCACATAAACAGGACTTTTTTTTTTACAGAAAGATTTGATGCCACTTTAAAACTTTCTTTATATGCTTTTCTTGTCAGCATCAATATAAAAATATTTACTTTCTGCCCTTGATCATAACAGTTGAAGAGAAACTATCAATGTGAACTTTTTGTGAGTTCCTATATATTGTTCATTGAAAATGAACATTTTCACTTCTTAGTAATTTTTGGGCAACCCTATAAATTTTATTATTATCTGTCATTCATATTCTTTTATCCTATTTTTATTCATTCTGTGCTGGAAATCTTCCATGATTTCCTTTTCACCAGGATACTTCTCACACTTTGCCCCTGTGCATGTGACATTCCATGCAGTTAAGGAGTACTAGAAATGCTCTCATCATTGCCCTTGTCTTAACCAGAAAACTGGTCTGTGGGCAGGCACAAGAAAGTAGTTTTAAGCATTGATCTGGGGAGGGACAGACTTGAGGAAATTTTGAGATGGCCTTCAAAGAGACAGATACCATTTTTATATATGTATATGTAGTTATATGTATTTTATATGTATATACAGTATGTATTTTTCATATACATATGTATAGGAAAGAATACATAAAAATACATAATGTGTGTGTGTATCTGTCTTTAGTCTTTAGATCTCCAAGTATATTTTGTTACTGGTCTTTGGCTGACAAATCTTGGTACAGTGACACCCAGTTAACCACAAACCTGAATAAGATGCAGACTAGAGGTTTAGATTCTTCTTTGGATTTTAATTTTGGTTTCCTACATAGTGTGGCTTTTGTAGACTCACTTTAAGGGTGTAAATAATCTGAAATACTGTATTCTCTAACATGGTGCAGATTGCTTTACCATGTTTTCCTGTGTGTGATTATCACATGGTATCAATTACCACCTATGCTTCCAATAAAGAACTAAAAGAATTAAAAGCTTCAGGTTTTAAATTTGCATTTGCCTATTTTGAAGGAATCTGGATTCCCATGTATGGAAGCATTAGGACCAAAACCAGAAGTCACTTTGTATTCCACTGATTCAGAGGTGTTTGGTGAAAATGATTTTCTTATGCCTTAGTTAAAGCAGAATCTTTAGTAAAAGGGTTAATTGTGTCAAGAAGGCATCTCATATACCATTCTGTGCTTTATGGGTTCGCGTTGAACAGATTTTTGTACTAAATGTGTGTCATATCTTGCAGAAAAGCTGGACAGTATTACAAAATTACTAAAAAATGTGTGGCACTTTATTTCAATTTAAAGGACATGACTGTTTCACAGGTTTCAGGAAAAGAGAAAAACTGTGGTTGTCTCTAAGGGTAGCCTAAAGTGTTTTTTACTGTGTAATAGTTCTGTGTTGTCTCGGTTTGTAATTTTGTACAGTCTTAAGGAAAGTAATGTTCTTTCCCCACTGGTAGATTGCAGAAGTGTAAGATCTCACCTCTGATTCTGATGAACTGGAAGACAGGCAGGTATCATTGAGCCAGGATGGCCCGTACTACTTGCTGCAAAGACCTGTGCCTGGTTAGCATGAGCTCATCAGGTTGTGGGGGCAAGTTCTGCCTGGTTGTCTAGGCAGTCCCCTGCAGAGGTGGCCTGCACACGTAGTGCTGTGCTCCTGACCACAGTGCAGGTGGAGGATCCTCGTGAAGGCTGAGGGTGGAAGCAGACTTGGTGTCACTTTTCAGCTTCAGAGCACATTCTTGTTCTTTGCAATAATAACAGCTTGCTCCGCAGAGAAAGTAAAATTGGTCTGTATGTAACATCATGCTTGGTTTTCTGGGAATGTGTGTGTAAGGAAGACTTGTGTTTAGACAAGTCTGTTTTATGCGTGCAGAACTGGGACTGAAGGTTTCCAGATTATGCTCATGGTAAGGGCAAAAACTTTTAGAGGCTTCCAGCTTAGATTTTTGCAGTGTGTGCTACCTAGGAAATGGTTGAGGGTTGCTCCTTTAGCCTTGCACTGCACTGCTGTGAAACATACTTCTCTAACAAGACACCTAAAACATTATGTAAGGGGCATAACACTTGTCCTGGGACACAAGTACTATGGTATGAGGCATGAAAGCTTTACAGAAGTGATAAAATAAAACCCAGGCTGAAAAGCACAGCGCTGAGCAATGCACCCTGGTGCATGTGTTTTGTTTCCTGCAGGGCTGAGTAGCTGGGTGAACACAGGGTTTATGTGGCTGCGCAACTGCTTACTCTAAATTTCAACTCCTCCTCTTAAGCAAACACAGGAATAATATAGATAAGCTCTTCTAGTCACAGAGGATGAGCTCACTGAATTGGAGCAAAGTAAAAAAGTTGTGCGATGAACCCTGTGTGCAATTTCCAACAAGCAGATCTTAACTTTAAATTGACAAATAGTCAGAAATGTTCATTAACAAACTACTTTTAGTACAAAGACATGAAGAAATTTAAAGGAAGGAAGGAATGACTGCCCATTAATGAATATGAGCCAAATTTTAATTAACACTGATATCACATGTTTCTGAGGTTAAAGTTTGCAGGGCTGTAATTGGTACACTGTTTGCTTTTAAAAAAAACCAACCTGCCCTGCCCCCCCCCCCTCTCTTCCGGCCAGG